CCAACAGCAGAGCTTATAGGGTATTCAATTCCAGGACCAAAGTCATGATGGAATCAATAAATGTCATAGTTGATGATTATCATGAAGAAACAGATGTCCCTTGTAATGTTGAGACATTCTTTGAGACTCCAACTCAACAGAATGACCTTCCTAACACCACTACAGCAGACTCTGAATCCAAGGAAGCTAGCAAAATCCCTTCCATCAGAATTCAGAAAGATCATCCTAAAGAACTCATCATAGGGGATCCTAATAGTGGAGTCATTACAAGATCTAGAGAAATAATCTCAAACTCTTGCTTTGTGTCTAAAATTGAACCAAGAAATGTTAATGAGGCTTTAACTGATGAATACTAGATTGGTGCAATGCAAGATGAATTGAACCAATTTAAGCAACATGAAGTTTGGGAGTTAGTTCCTAGACCAGAGGGAACTAACATCATTGGCACAAAATGGATATACAAGAACAAATCAGATGCTGAAGGAGTGGTCACTAGGAATAAGGCAAGACTTGTTGCCCAAGGATACACTCAAGTTAAAGGGGTTGATTTTGATGAGACCTTTGCCCCTGTAGCCAGACTGGAATCTATCAGACTCCTATTGGGAATTGCTTGTCTCCTGAAGTTCAAGCTATTTCAGATGGATGTAAAAAGTGCCTTCCTAAATGGGTACTTAAATGAGGACGTTTATGTGGAACAGCCTAAAGGTTTTGTGGATCCAAACCACCCTGATCATGTCTACAAATTGAGGAAAGCTCTATATGGCCTGAAACAAGCTCCTAGAGCATGGTATGACAGGTTAACAAAATTTCTCTCAGTAAAAGGATACAGAAAAGGAGGCTTGGATAAAACCCTCTTTGTCAAAAATGAAGGAGGGAAGTTAATGGTAGCTCAAATATATGTTGATGACATAGTGTTTGGGGGAATGTCAGAACAAATGGTTAAACATTTTGCTGACCAGATGCAGGCTGAATTCGAAATGAGTCTCATGGGAGAACTGACTTATTTTCTTGGACTACAAGTCTCACAGATGGAGGACTCAATCTTTCTATCTCAAAGCAAGTATGCAAAGAACATTGTCAAGAAGTTTGGTATGGAGAATGCCAGTCACAAAAGGACCCCTGCACCTACTCATTTAAAGCTATCCAAAGATTCAAGTGGGGTTAATGTGGACCAAAGTCTGTACAGAAGCATGATAGGAAGTTTGCTGTACTTAACAGCAGTAGACCTGACATTGCTTTTGTAGTTGGAGTTTGTGCAAGATACCAAGCTGATCCTAAAGTCAGTCATATCAACTAAGTAAAGAGAATTTTGAAGTATGTCAGTGGAACTTACAACTATGGCTTGCTATACTCTCATGGCTGTGAACCAACTCTGACTGGTTATTATGATGCTGACTGGGCTGGAAGTGCTGATGATAGAAAAAGCACCTCTGGAGAATGTTTCTTCTTAGGAAATAATCTGGTCTCCTGGTTCAGCAAGAAACATAACTGTGTGTCTCTCTCTACTGCTGAAGCTGAATACATTGCAGCTGGTAGTAGCTGTTCTCAAATGATCTGGATGAAACAGATGCTCACTGAGTATAATGTCACACAAGATGTTATGACATTGTACTGTGACAATCTGAGTACAATCAACATTTCCAAGAACCTTATTCAGCATAGCAGGACCAAGCACATTGACATTAGACATCACTTTATCAGAGACCTTGTAGAGGAGAAGACAATTAAACTGGAACATGTTGCCACTGAGCTACAGTTGGCTGACATTTTTACCAAGGCACTTGATGCAAATCAATTTGAAAACTTGAGGGGCAAGTTGGGTATTTGCCAACATGAGGAATTGTAGCAATTAATTTTGCTTAAAACAAGGGTTGAAGGAGTTATTTTTGTTAAGTCTATTTTGATTGGGTTAATCATATGTTTTCCCATTTCTTTCAAAATTATTAAGAAGTTGAATAGACACTCATTTGCCTCCTTCCTCTTTCGACTCTGCAATAAATCCCATTCTCTCAATCAAAGTTTTCTCTCTAGCTGCTACTGGTTTTCTAAGACTATCAAAATGTCTCAAACATCATCCTCATCCAAGACGACCGTTTCATCCTCATCCTCTGATCGAGATTCTCGGGCAATCACATCATGCATGGATTCTGAAGTCCTGGAGATTACTCCTCTTAGAGAAATGGCAACTAACCATCCAAGGTCAAAAAGCTGAGAACAAGGCATGCATGAAGGTCTCAAGCTACTTCATCCGGTAATCCCTCTCAACCTTCATCTTCTGTACCAAATAGGGAAGGCTCAGCTTATGTTCATCAAGCAATAGCTAGGCTTGTTACAAGAATTTTGAGTGAGAACCACTCTGTACCTGGGATTTCTGTTCCATTAAATCAAGAATCAGCAAGCCCAAATGTTGAAGTAAATCCAGATGTCTCTGAGAATGTTGAGACTCCAAATGACAACATTCAGAAATCATCTGAAAACCTTGATGATATTCATAACCCTTCAGAGAAGAATGTTGAACCACCTGTTAACATATAAGTACATGTATCTTTGGCCTATTTGTGGCTAAAGAGGGGGAGATATTTTGTGTTAATTACTTGGTAGACATTATATTTTTCTGCAGACATATTCATTCTGCTGCTCTCTATTCTCTGATTGCTTAGGGGTTTTAGCCAAAAATCTGCCAAAGGGGGAGTTTGTAAGTGTTTAGTTATTGGCATTTATTTTTGGTAAAACCAGGTGTGTGAATGTCATGACTGATGTCATAACATTCTGGATTATTAGGTTCTTTATGCAGAAAAAGTATGGCATACAATAGCTGCTGTTTATGAGTGTGTATCTGAGCATTTTGCAATGATCACATTTATTCTGTCTACCAAAATTAGTAAACAGGAATTCTGATGTCATAGCAAATGTTAAGACATCCTGTACTGATCTAACAGTTATGCAGTTTGGTTAATTCTGAGATTTTTCAGGAAGTTGGTTCATTCCTTCCAGAACAGAATCTCACGTGGTCTTTAGGTTAACCTAGCTCAACCCTAATCTGGTTGATAAAGTCTTGTGACCAAGTCTTGAGGTTAACCCTAACTTTTCGTGGAAGCCCTAACTGAAGAAACAACTGCATATATATTCAACAGGAAAGCTGATTGGAAATTAACTCTTTGACAGAAGATCAATTAGGAGCTGTATAATTTTAACTGTTGTAATCCAAGCAAGTATCATTGTGATAAGTGACTTGGAATAGGTTTTGATTGTAAGGGTTTTTGTATCACTCAAAGCTTTGAAGCAAGAGTGTTTGTGTCTCTTGACTAAAGCTTTGAAGCAAAGTCAAGTTAGGTTTATGTATCACTCAAAGCTGTGAAGCACGAGTGTTTGTGTTACTTGATTAAAAAGCTGTGAAGCATAATCAAGTGTATGTTCTGAAGAGTGTCTTCATTATTTCATTAGTAAATTGTTTAAGTATCACTGTTGTGATTGAGGGGGAGTGAGTAGGAACTCAGGTTTAAGTTGAACTTAGATTGAAGTTGCATTGGGTAGGTCTTAAGTGAAGGAGATAAACTGGTTGGTTTATTCCTGAATTAATATCTCTTATAGTGGATTTCCTCCCTGGCTTGGTAGCCCCCAGAGTAGGTGTTGTTTCACACTGAACTGGGTAAACAATTGACTGTGTTCTTTACTGTTTTTATTTACTGTCTTATAAAAAGTCAGATACGGTGTCATAACATTCACTGTGACATTGAGTATCTGCTGCCAGAATTTCAATATATATATATATATAGGTGTTAGTTTTACAATTATTTATATGTGTTCGTTTTTATTTTATTCTTTTTTAAATTTATTTGTCTCTTTTTTATTTAATTTTCTTTTCAATTATTTGTCTTTTTTTTATTTCATTTTCTTTTCAATCGAAAGGAAATCAAATATTATATATAATTATAATTTATAAATTAATTTTATAAATTTTGTATTTTTTATTTAATTTTCTTTTCCATCGAAAGGAAATCAAATAATATAAGTTATAAATTAATTTTATAAAAATTTTATCTATATAAAAAATTAAATAACATATTTTTGTGCATCACACGTATATATAAATAGTTAATGAATCTATTCTAAAGAAGTAAAATGACATGTGTTTTGTTTAGATTTGTTCAAAGTTGTTTTCAATAAATAAGATAATCAATGCAAAATCCATTCTAATTGTATAATAAATAAAAAATAACTTTTATTAAGTTCAGTGTCCTTCTTTCCTATATAAAATATTTAATGTACAATAAAAAATAAATAATTTTTTTCTAGTTACATTAATATCACATTCATATCAACTTCACATTGGCAAATGACAAAATTAATATATATTTTTAATTTTCAAATTTTTTATTAAAAAAAATATTATCCTTTTCACCATTTTCTCTATATTTTTGCCCCACTCTCAATCTTCCACTGATCTCTGCAAAATGGAAACCTAACTTAGGGTTTGATTGATCATCACTCTTCTTCCAAATTTCAGGTTTTTTCATTTCTTCCTTTCATGCTATTGTTCTTCTTCACTCTTCAATCATTTGCATCTGAACCCTAATTTCAATTTTTTTACAATTTTTTTTTATTTGTTAAGATTCTTCCCCAATTTTGTATCTCATAATCTAAGCTTTTAAGCTTCGATCGGATCCTGACCCATTTTTTGTTCACGTTAAAGGAACGAATTGGGACAGGAAAGGTTCAAAATTGATGATTGGAAAGTGGTTGATCCTATAGGTATATATTTGGTATAATCTATTGATTTGAGCTGCTTCAGATTAAGGTTGAAGCAACGAATTGTTCACATCAGTTGAGAGAGTGTGAAGGGAACGATTTAGATCAGGACTGAGGTGAGGTTTTAGCCTGATTTACTTAATTTTGATGCTTCTGAATTTGGATGAATATCTTTTAGGTCTAATTTGGTTACTTGTTTATTATTTTTGTTTGAAAAGGAAATAATTTTGTGTTTTGATTTTTGTGAATTCTTAATGGAATCGGATCTGTTGTTGAGTATAGGTTATAGAGAGCAATGGTTTGTTTTTTAAATTTTGTGTGTCTGATATATATGAAAACCATGATTGTATTGATAGCTTAATATTTTGGTTATTTAAGTGTGCATGAACTATGAAGCACAGACACTGGACAGAGACACTGGACACAACACAGACATTGACATGCTGACACCGGTAATAATTTGAAAAAATGAATAAATTGAAAATAATCACAAGTGTGCGTGTGCCTGACATGGACATAGACACACCTTTTTTTAGAGGTGTCTGCGTGTGTCTGACACGGACATAGACACACCTTTTTTTAGAGGTGTCTGCGTGTGTCTGACATGGACATAGAAACACATTTTTTCAGAGGTGTCGGTGCTACAGGGTGCATGAATGCAATTGATATGATTTCCTTGTTTAAAATCAAACTGAATGTAAATATTTGAGGATGGTTAAAAATTGATGTGAGTTTAGTATGGAAGATATGGTGATTTAGTTATTTGTCTGTTTTGAATTTTGATAGGTTTGGAGATATTGCAATATGGAGGACGATAGCGGGCTTGAGCTTAGTTTGGGTTTATCTTATGGCGGTTCATCATCCAAACCCAAGAGCAAGAATGGAAGCTCTTCGGATACTAGGTCAGAAGAAGTTGGTAGAGGTGGCAAGATGGTTGATGATTTTAAGAGCATGTTTAGTACTGATCCTCAGAAGCCGGAATCAATCACTAGTACCCGAAGGGCTGATTCCTCGAAGCATGAAGAGAATTTCTTTAGTGACCTTTCAAAGGTCAAAGAAGATAATGCTTCTTTGAATTTGAACGGGAGAGGGTTTCTTGTTGGAAGCAGCCATAATAAACCTATTGAAATTGACGAAAATAAACGGTTAGAGGTAAATAAGAGAAGAATGTCTTTTGATGATATACGTAATCAAAAGAGGCATGACAGCGACGTTCATCATGGTGATTTACATGACAGGGCTAGAGCTTCTCATATTTCTTTAACAGAAGATGGCTCGACTGCAGAAAATGAAGACGTGGCTGATTCGGAAGCTGAGAACTCTACCTCCAGGCCTCCCTCACACCATAGTGATGGTTCCAAAGGATTTGTTAGAGTTGGCGGTGCTTCTTCCGATGCTCCAAAAGATCTCCGTGGAGTCGCTGACTCAAGTGCCAATGGGCAGAAGAGGTTTACCTCATCCGCAGAAAAAGATTTTAAACATGCAAACATGACTTATGGTGCTTCCTTTTCTGCTCAACCAGTGAATATGATGAATGTACCTTACACTTCGGTAAAAGATTCAAACTCTGTTGGAGCACCAAGTTCTCAAATACCTGGAGTGATGCATATGATGCCGGCTGCAACAGCTGAACGTGCAGGAGGTCAATCTGTCAGTAATGGAAACTTGCCAATGATGTTTGGACATCCGTATGTTCAGCTTCCTATGTTGGATAAGGATAGCTCATGGGGACGTCCCCAACAGTTTCATCCTTCCTTTGCTGGGAGAGGTCCAACTAACTCAGGTAACTGATTTTTCGATGGACATTATCAACCTTTCATGACTCCTAACTTTTTTTATCTATGTCAGATTGATAAATTGTTAAAATGGTTTAGGTTGTGCATATATTCCTAAGTGTGTTATGACCGTAAAACCGAATGAAATATTCTAAATTGGTTGGAAGACTTGCATATTAAATTGGAAATTACATAATACATTATTGTGTCGATACAGCTGCATTACACCTAAACAATATATCTGAGGGCATGCCATATGAAGGAAGGCCACTAGAACGAGCCAAAAGTGACGGAAAACAGCGTGTCACCGAAGAAGGCTCCTTTTCACAACCTGAAGATGTGAAAGGAAGCAGCACAAACCTCAGGGGCAAAGATGCATCAGAACAGTCGAAAGCAGAAGGTTCAAGCATTGATTTTTCTAACATCAAGCCAGGGCTCGCTGCAGATGTGAAATTCGGAGGATGCGGTGCGTACCCGAATCTGCCTTGGGTATCGACCACAAACTCAAACGGGAGAACAATATCAGGTGTTACTTACAGGTACAACACTGACAAAATCAGAATTGTTTGTGCATGTCATGGCTCTCACATGACCCCTGAGGATTTCGTTCGCCATGCAAATGACGACCAAGCAAACCCAGACGGCAATGTGGTTTCGGGGACCATACCAAATGGTAATCTTGGTTCCTCTTCTCACAGTTAGATTACTACCATCTACCATCCAGGTTGTACTCTACTATATTATTATTATAGTTCCCAACAACAGAATCTGGAATTTCCATAATTTTTCTGTAGATGAATGAGTTTTCTACAACTTTTTTTGCTATTTGCCTATTTCACTTTAATCACTTGTAGCAGCTGCAATTAAGATTGAAGTTGTATTTAATAATGGTTGAGCTTTATAGCATCATCTATTCTATTAAATAGTAATCAAGCAAGTGATTTTGTCCTAGCTGTTACATTACATTGGTAGAAGTGTTGTTTTGGGAAAAAAATGAAGAGTAATATATATAATATATACAATAATCATTAATATTATAAAATTCAAAATTTTCAAATTAGAAGGAAAAAGAGGATTTAAAGCTGATTTATTTTCTTTACAATGTTATCAAATTGTGGCGCCATGGCGGATAATTGTGATGCCAGGACCGTTATGGCAGATATACATGGGGTAAATATCGATTATCATCGATATTGCAGGTTTTTCTACCTTAATCCACTGTAACGGTGCCGTGTTTTGCGGCCGGTATTTCTCCTTCCATGGACAACACGATTCGCCGTGTTTTGCGGCCGGTATTTCTCCTTCCATGGACAACACGATTCTTTGTAATATAATGTTAGTAACAAACCCGTACATTCACACGGGTTCTGGTACGGGACGCGCATTTGTTTTCGTTGTATATTTTTTAATAGAAAAATGTCTGGTTTCCCGTGAAAAAATAATAATTAAATGTATAATTAATAAAAAAAATTTTGATCAATAACTTCATATTTTCGTTAATAATTAATATTTTGATCAATAATTTCATATTGTTGTTAATATTTAATATTTTGATCAGTAATTTTATGTTCACGTTAATATTCAATATTTTTGACCCGTAATTTCATGTTCCATTAATATTTAATATTTTTGTTTAATGGGAACATTTTTTATTTAAAGATGTTATGTAATATTTTTTTGTTGGAATGAAATTATAAGAGTATTATATATTATAGTTTAAAATTGTAGTAGTGAATTTAGATCAATAAAATATTTTTTCTATATTATTTTTGAATAAAAAATATTTAGATCATAAATATCATTTTTCGTATATAAAAATATTTAGATTAATAACAATTTTTTTCCGTATACAAATATTTATTTTGTTTTGGTGTTGTTTGTAAAAATATTTGAATCAATAATATTTATAAAAATCAATAATATTTTGATATTATTTATAAAATTATTTAAATCAAAAACTTATTTTTTTCGTATTTAAATTCATATATTATTTTAAATATATTTATTTTTATTTTCTTTAATCATATAAAAATATAATTATTCGTGAATTTGTACGAATTCTGATTTAGATATACGTGCGATCGTATGAATATTAAACATAAAATTTCTATTGTTAATCAACATCATTAAAAATACTACTAATAATAAAATTCTTAAATTGAAAAATAAAAACTAAAATTGCTAATGAAATATTTGAATATATATATATATATATATATATATATATATATATATATATATATATATATATATATATATATATATATATATATATATATATATATATATATATATATATATATATATATATATATATATATATATATATATATATATATATATATATATATATATATATATATATATATATATATATATATATATATATATAGTGATGCAATTAAGAATATTTAAATTTAATAATTTTATATCAATCATAATTATCACATTTAATTTGATTTTATTATTGGTTAATTGTATTTGAAAATTATTATTATTTTAATAACAATAAAAAATGTTAACAAAAATCATAAATGTAAAAGAAAATCAACATTAACAAAAACATTAATATAAAATATTTAATTAAATGTCATAAAAGTTAACCACTTCACACCATCATCATTAAGATAAACAAAACTTCATTAATATTAGAATAGAAAAACTCTTATTTCAATGTATTTAATAAATACATTGATCAATGTTAAACAATTTTCGTTACACGGTAATGTTTAAATAGTTCTAGTGATATTGGAAATAGTGAAACTTTATTTTCAAAGAATCAAATAAACTTGACATTGATAGAAAATTTGTAAACTCCAGTAATCACAATCACATGTCACAAAATTTGTTGCATTCCAACTTAAGAGATTACAAAAACAAATGTGAGAATAAATTTATTGCATCACAAATTAATTAAATGTGATAATAAATTTTTATAAATAATTTAATTACGTAAATGTGATAATAAATTTTATAAATTAGGTAACTTTTTAAATAATATATTAAGTCATTAATGTGTTTATATTGATATCTAATTTAACGACAGTGAATAAAAAACATTCAATTAAAAAACTATTTAAAAAATTGAGTTAAAAGTATTTCACTAAAATTAATAGATAATTTAGTAATTTAATATTTGTTTTTTAATTGGATCTAATATTTTTTATAAAAAAAATAATGCAATGCTATGAAAAAAATCTATCAACACTATTATATATAAATTAAAAGGATAGTTAACTAATGTAAAAGCGTGAACAAATATAAAATTTGTCTATTAAATGTGGCATAAACAAATTGTTCAGCTCAAAACATAATTACAATGGGATAATAAAATTTCTAAAATTTTATTAATTATTAAATGCTTCAATTAAAAAAAAATTGCAGCTAAGGTATATTAAATGCTCCAAACATTACAACACATAAACAAAACAACACGTACACTCACCCCTCCTCTTATTACACCTTGCTCATAAACTCTAACCTGCAATAATTTAATTCAGTTTAAAATACAAACCATAAAATAGCTCAAAAAATCATAACCATAAATAACTAATATCACATTAAAAATATATTTCAATATGAAGAACATGAAGAAATAGAAATTTGAAAAAAAAAATTTTTTTTAAGGCGGAGACATTTAATTTGATAGATCTTTTGGAGAAAATAGAATAAAAATATTTAGAATGTATCTTATGAAGAAAATAGAATAAAAATATTTAGAATGTATCTTAAGGCAGAGACATTTAATTTGATAGATTTTTTCTATAAATAGTATGAAATCAAAGTAAAAATAATTATTAAATAAAAAAAAAGAGTAAATATGAGAATAAACAGGAAACATAAAAAAAAAGTATATAAAAAAAACATGATATCACATAAAAATAACATTACCTGCACTTGAATGAAGAAGATGAACAATTAGATTCACAAGAAACCTGTCAGAAAAAAATGAAAAAGTAGCATGAACATGGTTTCATAACATGAAATCTAATGAAAATTTGATGAAAAACATGGTTCCAAAAGCGTAAATTATTTTCTCAAGAATAATGAAATAGATGTTGCACAAACCTGTTTTTTGAAAAATCAGTAAAAAATATTAATGAAATGAAACAAAAGGCTTAAAGATTACATTTTTACATGATTAATGGAACAAACACCTTAAAAACTCAACCTTTTTCATACAATGAGATGGAAAAGTGTAAAAACATTGCATATTCGTAAAACTTAAAAAAAAAAACTAAAATAAAAATCAGACATGCAAAAAGATAAAATTCACCTTAAGATTTATATATTTTTGTTTCCTTCTATCTCATGCATAATCCATTCTTTTTCACATAATCTATCGATGTCTTTCGACACATACTCTCCACCACCATCAGTTCTCAAAACTTTGAGTTTTCGACCACTTTGTCTTTCGACCATAGACTTAAACTTGACAAATATCTCGATTACTTCACTTTTCTTCTTGATCAGGTAAGTCTTCAACTTTCGACTGAAATCATTTATGAATGTAACAAAGTATTTGTTACCTCCCATCGAATCCATCTGGATTGGTCCACATACATCAGAGTATATGACTTCAAGAATAACCTTCGACCTGCTTCCTGCATCCTTGCTAAAGCTATTCTTGTGCTGCTTCGCCTGCACACATTCCTCACATACCTCGTTTGAAATGTCAATTTCTGGCAATCCTGAAATCATATTTCTTCTCTTCAAATCTCTGAAGTTGAGATGGCCTAGTCGATAATGGCATATCCATTCATCTCTGCTAGCTGCAATCGAAAGGCACTTGTGCTCCATCACATTTAGTTCGACCTTGAAGGTTTTATTATGAGACATATGAGCCTTCAAGATTAATCTTCCATTTGCGTCGACGACTCTCATCATCTTATCTTCGATCGACACTTTATAATTCTTTTCGAACAACTGCCATATACTGAGCAAATTGCTCTTCATGCCTGGTATGTACAACGCAATGGAAATTACTGATCTCTTGCCATCTTTCATCATAATCATAACATCACCAATATCTTCAGCTGCTAGAGTATTACCATTTGCAAATGTTACCATATTTTTATTGAGGGCTTTATGTTGACAAACCAGTCTTTCCTTCCAGACATATGTGATGAGCATCCTAAATCAAAGTACCATTGATCCTTAAATCTATCTTTATCTCTTGTTGTGACCATCAACATCATCTCTTCTTCTTCATGTTTTGTAAACTTTGCATCACTTTGTTGATTCTTTCGCTTTTCTGGACAATCACTCGAATAGTGACCATATTCCTGACAATTGTAACATTGAATGTGACTCTTGTCAGATTTTTGACCACCACCTCTTCCTCTATTTACAACACCACATCTTTGGTTGCCTTGGTATGGTCTTCTCTGATTCGACACGTTTCCTTCGTTCCGGTTTCCTCTACCATTCGATTTGTTGTAGCCGCCTTTACCTCTGTCGAACCACTTTCCTTTGCATTTGGTTTTTTGTCAAATGTGCTTGCAAAGCCACATCACTCTTCGACTTGCCTGCAGCTCTTTCAGTCATTCTTTGTTCATGAGATTCAATCGTCCCTTGAATCTCTTCCTTTTTCAATTTCGACAAGTCTTTCCCCTCTTCTATAGCCACCACCACGTAGTCGAACTTATAGGAGCCAAAGATCTCAAGATCTTTGAAACAACAACTCTTGTTGTTAATGTTTT